ACACCAGCCGTATCAAACTGGGGCTTAAGAGTCTCGTCAGCAAGGGCATTCTGGTCCAAACCAAGGGCATTGGTGCCTCTGGTTCTTTCCGCCTCAGTAAGAAGCCGGGGGACGTGAAGGAGAAAGCTCCCAAGAAGCGGGCAGCCCCGGCCAAGCCCAAGAAGCCGGCAGCCAAGAAGCCCGCCAGCGCCGCCAAGAAGCCGAAGAAGGCGGTGGCTGCAAAAAAGAGTCCTAAAAAAGTCAAGAAGCCGGCGGCTTCTGCTGCCAAGAAAGCCGTGAAGAGCCCCAAGAAGGCAACTAAAGCTGCAAAACCGAAAAAAGCTGCGGCACCAACCAAGAGCCCCGCCAGGGCAAAGACAGCGAAACCTAAAGCGGCAAAGCCTAAGGCGGCCAAGGCAAAGAAGGCGGCGCCCAAGAAGAAGTAAGCCCCCGTGGAAGAAAACTCTTGCTCCGCACTTGAACCCAACGGCTCTTTTAAGAGCCACCCAAATTATATGAGGAGAGCTGAAACATTGTCATTTGCACCGGTTTTGAAGGGGAAAATGGGGAGGTAGTCACAAGAGGGGCAGTTAGCGGGCAAAAATCACGCTTCCCATTGGTTGGGGGGTCAGGTGGTCAGTCACTTTTGCAAACTGCGGGGCTGCTTTAAAATCTCCTTTGCGGAGCTGCGTAGAGCGCTACAGAGCACCGGTGGCTTTGGAAAGCACACGGCCCAGGGATTGGCTTCAAAAGGGCCAAGCCTGCTCCACAGGAGCCCTGTCAGCTCGGCCCCAAGAAGGGTTGGGAAGTGAGGCAGAGTGGGTGGAGTGCAGGGTGGGCTATTCCTGCAGCTGTATTGTGTGTTGCAGTACCGAGTCTGAGCAAACCCTTTCAAAAGGCGTAACACGTTTTTAAAACCTCGCTGCGGTTCAAGCTCTTTTTCTGAATTTTGTGGTGGCTCTGAAAAGAGCCTTTGGGTTTGTCTGCAAGGGAAAAAGTTCCCAGGTTGTGCTGTTCAGCGCTCACTTGGCTTTAGCCTTGTGGCTGTCGGTCTTCTTGGGCAGCA